TGAATATGACTGATTCAATTTCTGTCCTAATGACGCCTTTCACCTAAGAATTTGATGAAAAAGGAAAGTCTTTCACATAGGTACTAACATTCATGGAATTTGAATGGAATAAATTGATAAGTCCTTAATAAGTGGAAATGCTTTATCTGTGTGCTATCACATTTCCAGAGCAATATCAGAGCATTTTTATGATGGGATTTACATCTGATTAGTTTTTTAAAATCATTTTTAAAAAATGTACAACTGGGGCACCTAGGTGGCTCAATTGGTTAAGCATCCGACTTTGGCTCAGGTTACAGTCTCATTGCTTGTGAGTTTAAGCCCAATATTGGGCTCTCCACTGTCAGCACAGAGTCCACTTGGGATCCTCTGTCTCCCTCTCTCTGCCCTTCCCCCACTAGCACTCTCTTTCTTTCTCTCTCAAAAATAAACATCTAAAAAAATAAAAATGTAACCAACAAAACATAATTTAACAATGTGGTTTTAGGAAGTTGTGAGCAAATGAGCAAATGTTAGTATGGCTTATTTCATAATAATTTTTCTGAGTAATATAAAAGTGAAATTGAGTTATCATGATAAGTCATTACTGCTACTTGAAAGAAAATAATAGCTCTTTCTAACCTTCAAATTGAACTACCTATTTTACTTGTGTTGGATTGGTTCTGCAACTTTTGGTCCCATTTATGTTCTGTGAATGCCAGACTAGAGACAATGCTTAATGTTAAACAGGAGCATTTCCTCCACATCGGTGATAGAAAATATTTGCCTCTAAACAGTAATGCATGATAGCATGTGGAGAGTCTAGGAAACAGGAATTTGCTCTTCACTCTTAGCTATCTATCACTCTTATAGCTGGAGTAGCCTTTTAAAAGCCAAGAGGCCTAATCATTTGACACATTTTACTCTGGTATAGAAACACATATACAAGAATTTCATAAAGAAATCAAGAGCTGTTTTTTTTAAATTTATTATTTTTTTAATGTTGTTTATTTTTGAGAGAGAGAGAGAGAGTGAGTGGGGAGGGGCAGAGAAAGAGAGGGAGACAGAGAATCTGAAGCAGGTTCCAAGCTCTGAGATGTCAGCACAGAGCCCAACGCAGGGCTTGAACCCATGAACAGTGAGATCATGACCTGAGCTGAAGTCAGATGCTTAAACGACTGAGCCACCCACGTGCCCCATTTTTGTTTTTTGTTTGTTTGTTTTTGTTTTCCTTTTGAGAGAGAAAGCGTGCATGAGCAAGTAGAGGGGCAGAGAGAGAGAGAGAGAGAGAGAATCCCAAGCAGACTCCACTGCTGTCATTGCAGAGTCTGATGCTGGGTTTGGTCTCACAAACTGTGAGATCATGACCAGAACTGAAATCAAGAAGAGTCAAATGCTTAATGAGCTGAGCCACCCAGGTGCCCCAAGAGCTGTTGATTTTTAGAGAACTCCATTTTTGACACTGTTCTCTCCTCCGGTATCTATTATTTGAGATTCACAAAACGTGTTTAAATTTTTTTAATATTTATTTATTTTTGAGAGAGAGACAGAGCATGAGCGGGGGAGGGACAGAGAGAGAGGGAAACAGAATCGGAGGCAGGCTCTAGGCTGACAGCACAGAGACCGATGCAGGGCTCGAACTCGTGAACCGTGAAATCATTACCTGAGTCAAAGTTGGATACTTAACTGACTGAGCCACCCAGGTGCCCCAAAAAAGTGTGTTTAAGCCATGAGTGAAGGGGGGGTGATAACGTGCCTCTCAAAGCTGCTCAAACAACATAAAACTTCCAGCAAGTGATATTTGTGAGTTATTAGCACTCTTGTTCTTAACTATTCAACTCTCAGAAACTCCAGAAATAGAAATAGCAGGGACCAAGTCTTCTGGAAGATGTGTTATTTTAATATTAAGTATATTTGAGAAAATGTTTTAGGTGTGAGAGGTCTGTGATACTTGGGAACTTCCCAACATGAGGCACCATGGCCATAGGATGACAGAAGGAGGGCTTCCTTCCCCAGTATAGTGCTTTCTGAGAATAACTTGAGGGAAGATGGCAGCCTGGCTTGCAACCAGGTAAATAGAAAGGAATTATCAATATAGAAAAGAAATAGAAAGGGGGTACTCTTGGGACAAAAATACAGAATATAAGAAAGCTGGTTCAGTGTTACTAGATAGAAGGGATGTGTATGACTTAGGGTAACAAAAAGACAGTTGTAGCGTTTTTCAAAAGTTAGCAGCAATATAATTAAAAGTCAAGATACTTATTCATAACTTCTAGTATAAGAAGTTTAAATAGAAGTTGGGAAAGTTTTCCTAACTTGTTTGGTAATACATAGGGCTGACTTGGGTATATCCATGACTTGAAATTGGCTTGAAGCAAGCAAGATCAGCAACCACCAGCATTTTTGTCCTTCAAAAGGTTTGTCATTCTTATCTGACTCTTTAAAATTGTAGCTAGGCTAAAGAAAACCTTGCACTGCAATTTAAAGCATTGGCTCTTAGAACATGTGCATGACTCAGAATGTTCTTTCTGTTTTTGAAGATTTTGCAAAGTAGTAGATTGGCCTTCACAAAGAGAATTCTATTTCCCACTTCTTCAGTATGTGGTGCAATATAAACTGCCCTCTGTGCATATCTGGGTGTATCACACAGTCTGATATTATCTTTCTTACACCTTCAACTAGCACTGGTTCAAAGTCATGACATAGTCGCTGACTGACAAGTAACCTTGCTGAGTAAATTTTCCTATGAATTCCTTTTTAGTTTATTTCTGTAGAGCCATTTTGAATGGGTCAGGAAAGTAACATGTATCTCATGACAATTAATGCTTTCTCTTCACCTCCCATTACCATACTGACAGCTCTTTGTGCAGAAAAAGAGAACATCTTTAATTTTTATTTTGATGCTCTTTTTGCTTGCAGATTCAACTCTTACGTGAACATGAAATTTATCCCTGTATTAAGATCAACCTTGTTTTTCAAGGTCACCCTGCTTTCCTTGGTTTATGTAGAATATTAAATTTATCCTGAAATCCACCTAGATTGTAGAAGGGCTCATGGCTCCACTAGGAATATAGAAAGAAAGTTGCCTCCAGGTAAAGTGGCAGGAGGCGTGGTGCAAGAAGAGAGTACTGGTCTTAATTCCGCTCTTCTTGGCCCTGTTAATGGGATGACAAATACACTGAACTTGACAAAGCCTGTGTGGGACCACTGGCAGATGTCTTCACGGCTGCGAATCTCAACTTCATCATATAGAAAATGGAATTAACACCCCATTATCTAGAAAATGGGTATAATGCCTACTTCACATGTTTCTCAGGGATATTGAGAGGGTTAAATAAGCTGATATGTGAGAAAGTGCCATGCATACTGGAAAGTGCTGTCCAAACATAAGATACCATGATGGTAACTTTTACTAAGTAGGAAGACTAAGCTATTTGGTGCAAATAGCTTCAATGTGACTGTTGTTTCCTTCTTTGGAAATCTCTCCTCAAATTGCTTCTGACTCATTTATGTTTATACTCTTTGAAGCTCTTTGATTTAGAGCTGGCACCACTTCATTGTAAATATATAGCACTATGTGCACATCACCCACGAGGCCAGTGCCAGGGCTCACTGTACAAAAGCCTTTAGTTTGGGGAAAGCCTAGAGGCAAGTCTTAGTGATTGCTTACACATTTAGTGACAAGACCAATAGCTCAGAGCCTAAACGCACCAGCACTTACATAAAACTCTGTTTTACCCAGCATTAAACTGTGTCATGAAATTTTTTTAAATTAATCAAAATTAACATCTTCTCTTTTGTTTTACCTTTTCTTTTAAAAGCAACTTATGATGTTTTCTCAAGCCCTACAACATCAGATGAGCCTGACATATCAGAACCCCATACAGGTATACCCCGCCTCTCAATTCTCTCTTTGGAAGCCAAATATTCTGACAACACTACGCCTCATTCTTGCTTTAACTTGTGCAGAGTGAAAAAGCATACTCTTCAGGGTTCTGCAGGAGAGAAGTGGCAGTCTGTGTCAGTGAGATGGATTCTACCCATTTCTCTGTTGAGCGATTACTTCTTTATCAGTAATAAGCTCTGCCACACGTGGGAGATGCAGATAAATTTGGTTGCCACTGACCCAGAGTAATGTATTAACAGAATCACTCTAAAAAGGTTTTAGATTCTTAGGGACTTTTCTGTAGAGCAGTGGTTCTCAGATGGGGATGATGTTTCTCTCTTCTCCCCCCAGAGGCATTTGGCAACAACTAGAGACATTTTTGATTGTCACAACTGGGGAAGGTGGCACTGACTTCTAGTGGGTAGAGGCCAGGGATACTGCCAAACCCTGCAATGTACAGGTCAGCCCCCCTCCCCCCAACAACAAAGAATTATGCAGCCTTAAAAGGCAATAGTGATGAGCTGAGAAATCGTGCACTAGAGCAATCATGTCATTCCTTGGTCTATAGAAGTTCAGTTGGATCTGATCTTTGGCATTCTCCTACTGATCCACATACAGTGAATGTAACTCAATCTAATAATTCATTTTAGCAACTGTTTATTAAGCACCTACTAAACTAGGTACTAAGAGAGATTCCAAGTCAATATGAGTGGTCTCTGCTAGACATAGATATATGTCTGATATTTTTGTATATTTCGCCTGATATCCACATTATTTGTGCCATGATAAAAGCAAATAATTTTAAATAGCAGAAAATAAGAGAAAAAATGGAATAGAGTGTTGAGTGTGTTCACTTAGAAGTTAAACAAAGGTGAGAAACCAGAAAAGCCAACTGAAGACAAGTTGAATACATGAAACGTTTTTATAATGGTTTCTAATGTTTAAAGTATATATGTTTTTTAAAAGTGAGTTCATCTTCAGCTCCTAATGAATCACTAGTTTTAAAATGTTGGTCAGCAGTCGTTCAAGTGTTCGTGATACTTTTCCCCATATGAGGAATAATTTATTACTCATGAATTTGTATTTTATTCTTGGGGCCTTCTGCTTTTATAAATGTTGACATTTATTCCAACAGAAACAAGTGATCCATTTCTGGATTCTGTCCCACCTAAAACTTCTAGAACTCTTGAACAGCCAAGGGCAACACTGGGTAATGTTTTTAACAGAAAAATCCTACTTTGTTTTCCATCAAGAGAAAATCCATGTGAATGCCATTCTTCCAAATGATCATTTCATTCCATCACATTTAATCATTTATTTCATTCCTATTTCTGAATATCTATATTTTTTCCTGTAATGCAGTCATCTTATGTTCCATTTTGGGTGTGTGCACCCTCTCTTTCTCTCTCTTTTTGAACTCTAATAGATGATTATTTTTTCCATCCTTAAAGGAATGAAAAGCTTTGAAAACTGCATGGACTCTTCATCATCCATATCATCCCATCTCATGTGTTTATGGCCTGTATCACCTCTCTTCCATGTGTTGAGTCTGCCTGGAGTGAACTGCTGAACAATCATCATTCTGACCTTTTCTTTAAATCATTATTTCATCCACCAGCTTTCAACACTATATGCATTTTACATTCTTAATCATGGACTTGTAGCATGTGCTTGGTAACACCATCTAAAAAGCATGTTAAAATCCTTAAAATACCTCTTTTTAACTGGAATGACTTGGTGGGTGGGGTGTTTGTATTTTCAGCTCCAAGTGAAACACCATTTGTTCCTCAAAAACTGGAAATCTTTACTAGTCCTGAAATGCCACCTACAACACCTGGTAACTAATGATGTTTTTATTTGTATACTTTGAAAGAACAGATAAAATGACCAAAAAGAATCTGTTACGTTGGATTTCGAGAATATTTTCAGTAGTAAATATTTCCCTTTATTCTATACCATGAGATTCTTCCAAGAACTAGGTTATCTATCATACTTTGCCTTGTGAGAATCCTCAAAGAATCTCCATAATCTTGGTGTCCATATATTTGAAGAATTATTTCCCTTCTATAATCCTTTCAATTCTGCCAACCAGAAAACAGAAGTGGAATTACAGACCATAGTTATTCTAAAATACATTCCCTTCTATTCAGCATGATTAGATAGCACTTGGTCAGAATATTTTTCTCAAAGTAGTCTAAATATAAAGAGCACCGAGTAGATTCTATATCCCTGGAAATGATAAGAAAAGATGGGTAAGAAAGATAACACAGCCTACATTCTATAATGGTCTAAAAGTTATTAGAATAATGTAATTCATTAACTCCTGGTGAGGTTAGTAATGAGCTACAGAATTAAAGAAGTTCTGAACTTCCATTCTCTAAATCCCAAATATTTGTGTTTGTCCTCTGTTGTTTGGTAAATTATCTTTTGAGTTCTTAACTGTACCTTGTGTTCTTGAATCCCTCAAGAGTGCTTACCTCCCAGTACATTTAACTCAACAATATACCTTCAGTGTTCATATAGACACTTAATTCATTTTGGCCCAATCAGCACATTTATTGAGAACCTTCTGGGTATAAAGCACAGTGCCTGGCATTCTGGGCATACAAAGAAATAAAAAGCAGTTCTTGTACTCAAGGAGTTTACAATTGTGACCTGATTGGCCTCTGTGCAATATTATTTATCAAAGCTATATTAAATCTTCTTTCAGCTACCCAGCAAACTACATCTATCCCTTCTACACCTAAACGACGCGTCAGGCCCAAAAAACCAAGAACCAAACCTGGTAAATAATGGTCTCTTTAACTTCTCAGGATACTTAATTCCAAATACATAATGTCTCTATTTTCTTTTTCATAAAAAGAAGCTATGTGATTCTACAGGTCAAAGTTTCTTCACAAAATTTGAAATTAGCTGAAGATGAATTAATGCAAAATGACAAAAATCAAACAATTTTTCAATAAGACTTCATTGAAAATTAAGTCCGTGATCTTCTTGCTTGTGAATTTCGGTATAAACCCAGAAACAAGTCCTAATGTCTTGTTAGTGTTAGGAAGTAAGATAGTTAGTGTGACTCATTTCCTTGGTATGCATGTATATTTAGGTGTTTATTAGGCTAGCAGTTGGTGTTTGGGGAGCCTACTATGTTTTCAACTGAGCTAGGGCAGTGGCTGAGAGGAGAGACCATGACTCTGACTCTCCAAATGCTTATAATCTCAAAAAGATGCTACAGCAGAAAATGAGAGAGCTGCTTGTGAGACTATAATACTTGTGCAGAAGCTCAGAAAAAGAGTTGAGGATGTAAGCTTCAAAATATGTGTAGGGTTTAGACAGAGGAGAAGGAGGAGGGAACACATCCCAACACCGAATTTGCATGGTAGAGGTAGCTTATCAGGAGGTACTATTTTTCACTGTCAAATGATACACTCAGAATCATGCCCAACAAATCAGGTTTTGCTTATTCCATGATAGTATACAGTTTTTTTTATTGCCTTTGCTATTAGGACTGAACTTAGAAATTATTTCCCAAAACCTGTACTCACTGTTGTTGTAAACACTGACAAATATGGCAGGATTTGAAAGGGTCATTCAGTTATTCTTCGAGCGATTATCTTTTTATTGTCTGTAGGATATCTTAATATTTTTATTTCCTTTCCATCACCAGAAAGAACCACAAGTCCTGGAATAATTACATCTAAAATTCCTAAAAGCCCTGAACCTACATGGACAACACTGGGTAATGACATGTCCTTAGTAGTTAGATGTGTTACTTAATTTTACCATGAAAATCCAGTACCTTAGCTTTTGTGTAATGTCTCAGTCACTGTGCTAGTTGGATAATTTTGACAATTGTGATGATTTCATAGAGTACAGCAGCCCTGTGACTTTCATGGTTTTGGGTAATTTGTCCCATAGTTAATGTACCTGAAATCAGCATTCAGACATTATCCTGTACCTTGGAAAGCTGGAAAACACGGCTGCTTCATCACCTTCCATAAGTCATTGTATTTGAAGTAGAGTCCTAAACACAGTTCTCCATTTTTCTGAGTAAGATCCTCAAGTTCAACTTCAGACTTCATTTGGAAGAACCGTGTTCTATTATGATGTTAGTAGAATTTCTTTGTATAGTAGATCATGCATTATATCTATCAGTGATTATCAATCTTAAACATGCCTTCTTTCTGGTGCTTAAAGACTTGTATGTGGCTGAGAAATGTGAAGTAAGGGAGCAAAATGATTCCATAGATTTTTTTCAAAGATAATGGATTAAAATAATGTTCTTTGTGTAGTTATTGTTGCTATTTGTAGCAATGCTATTTCTGTTAGTTCAAATATGTCCTGAAATGTTTTTTTCAAACCAGATGAAAATTTATCACTTTATTCATTCAGTGTTGTTCTGTAAAATATTCTTTCAGTGGAACACTTGCAAAACCTTCCAAGATGAAGAGTTCATTCCACTTAAAACATAGCTTTTTCTTTTGTGGCTTTAGACACTGAAATGCCCAAATATTGATTTGTTGATTATTTTCTTTACTTTTCCAGCTCCCAGTAAAACACAATTTATCTCTTTGAAACCTAAAATTCCTCTCATCCCAGAAGCGATAGACACCAAACCTGGTAATTACCCTGAATTTTTTTTTTCCAAAAGTAGGGTTGAAAATTTATTTTATGCCACTCTTTGGAGTAAGAACTTCTGGTTTGTATTTTGCTATTTGATGCAATTTTTCCATGAAAAGTACAAAAATGCAATGAAATGATCTCCTTATAACCAGCCCTTCTGATATTATGGCAGCCTCATTCTGAGCTGTTGGGTGGATGACCAACCCAGACAAAATACAGAAATACAGTGATGTGAGTGATTGAGGACTCCCTTGTCTAAGACAACGAAATAGTTTCCAGTACCACAGTTGACTGGAATTCTGATCACACTAAACAGCCTTTCAGCCTAAAAAGGGAGAAGTGTTTCCCTCCCTTAAAAACTCTGCCCTTGTTTTAGAGCTTCTCAGTTCTCCAGCTGCAAAATCAGAAAGGGTAGTATTTTCCTAATGCTGCATTACTTCTTTCTGAATTGAAGCTTATATCTGAACACTGACATTTGTTTACTCCTCAGGATATAACAATGATGGTTTGCTGAAAAGAAGGCTCTTTTGCAGGGAGGGGTTATTCTGTATATGTAATTAAAAACAGAGACAATTCTCTGCATATCGATTGCAGGACATATTGAATGACCAAATCTGCATTTTATTCTGTCTATCCAGAATCTATACAGAAATTTAAATGTTGACTTATGAGTGTCCCTTTATATATAGGAATTTTGTTGCTATTCATCATTTTCATCCAAATTTTAAACTCTTAGCTTCTGGAAGAATATATTTCTCACTGTCCTATTCAATGGATTTTTCATTAGTGCATGTTTACAAAGTAAACAATGATTGAACCAGAGATTTTCTACTTAAGCAGGCATGATTTTTTTTTTTTTTTTTGCAGTGAAATGTGTAAGGAAGAAAAATGTAACTGCTCAGAAAAGGAATTGTTATGACTCCCTTCAAAGAGGCAGTGAGATTTCCAGGTGTAGGTGTCAGACCAAAGGAAATGAGGGATTAGTCAAAGGGATGTGTAGTTAGCACTGTGACCATGGGTGAGGTCTTCATGTTGGAGAAATGGAATTAAGTACTCTTACTCCGAGAGGTTACTTGGAGAAAGAAGCACATAGCTAATGAAACTGAAGGCCCCTAACAGTTTATTTTTTAATGTTTTATTTATTTTTGAGGGAGAGAGAGTGCAAGCAGGGGAGGGGCAGAGAGGGGGTGGCATAGAGGATTCCATGTGGGCTCTATGCTGATAGAAGCAAGTCCCATGCAGGGCTTGAACTCACAAACTGTGAGATCATGACGTGAGCCAAGGTCAGACACTCAGCTGACTAGCCACCCAGGCGCCGCAAGAGCCCTAACAGTTTAAATCAATGAACTCCAATAGCTATATGACAGAAGGATTTAATGTACATTTATTTAAAAATCATGCCTAGAGAGCTTTGGGATAAGATAAAAACTGTTTTGTTGTATTTTGAAAGGGAGCTATTACTAAGTGGATTGAGAAATACTATTGGATGTTTAGACCACTAAATTTAAATACATGTCTCTCTGATCTAATTATTCCTGTTAGTATAAGATAAAAGTTGAAAAAAGCAAAAAAGTCTGCATTTGATCTTAACGGTTTATACATGATTAGTTACATTATTAATTTCAGTCCTTTCTAAAGAAAGGTTTAGTAGAAATTCATTAATACAAATAAGGGGCGAGGATGTGTTCCTATCCATTTAAGCTACTTGAGCAAAGAGACTTGTTAATTTGACATTTCCTTTTAAAATGTGGCCAATTATTTGGAAGCTAATGAGTCTCTATTCCTCTGGTGTGTACCTTCTAATCACTCAAGAATATCCACGCTTTTCCCCCTGGCATCAAATATAACCACTTCAGAATCTGCACCTAAAGTTACACAAACTCAAATTGACCTCCGGTGGTCTGAGGCAACACAGAGTAACAACAGGATCTCTGCAAACCATTGCCTGGGTTTTAGCTTTTTAAAATATATTTATTTTTATTTTAGGGCAGGCCACCATTATAGCTTTGCGGAAGATTTCTGTTTCTAGCCAAGGTTCAGGAGAGCAAATCAACCACCAAAAGCTTTTCTTATTTGAGTGATTCATTGCCTTTCCCACCGCTCTCCTCACACTCTGCTATTTTTCCATTTCACTTTCCATGCAAGTTGCTTTTCCTCTGGTTTTCCTTTGTGGTTAAACTAATGAGTAAAAACCCACATTGGGTTTGGCTTATTTTGTAAGCATAATCCAGTGCTTTCTTGAAAATCCCACCATCTACCATGTCCCAATGTGTCTGCCTCAACCAATAAGAATTTCATCCTTCATAATTAATCTTTAAGATTGTAATGGCCTTCGGCTATTCAAGCTTTTAATGGACTGGAAAAAAAAAAAAGGAGAGACCTTCAATTACAGGTATTTTTTAACACGATTCTCTGACATGGTAGATAGAATTGTAAATTTTTCTTATTGCTCATTACAAATCATGAGCCATTGTATCTTTCTTTTGTGCTGAGGTGACTGGTGTAGTTATTTGCATGCCGCTTAACATTTTTAAACCTTTATCATTATACCTTAAAATTATAAAGTAGAGGAAATTTTGTCAGAAGATATATTTACTTTTTTAAAAAAATGTTTTCAATGTTTATTTTTGAGAAAGAAAGAGACCCAGTGTGAGGGCGGGGGG